GTCCTGCAGTGTTGATGATCAAATGACTGATCAACAGCTTTGAAAAATAAGGTGGAGCTTTATCTCTCTCTTATCTGCAACAGTCAGAAGTGGATGTTCTAAGGTTAGTATGGTGGCCCTGAGCCATGCAGTCCGCATTTGCCACCTCACCTTTGCTACCCTCTTTCAAAGACTTGAGTTGCCCAGCGCGTGGGAGCAAGTGGCACTGAAGAGGCATTGATTCTATGAGCCATGTTGACTGCACGTCATGAGTACAAGAATGACAGTGACCCAGGGCTCAGTCCGTGTCCACATTTTAGGAACCAGTGTGGAGGAAAGGCATGTCTCTTCTGAGGCTTAAGGATACTCCCCAGAATACATAACCTCTCTATATCCTATCAGGGATGACCACACCCAGTCTTTTTAGCCACATGCACTTAGTTTAATAAATGAAAAATAGAGAGATGCCAGTGTCCATATTCCCTGTGGGCTTTGCAAACAGGGCATCAGCCACTGTCTTCAGGGATGTGACAGGCAGTTAAGGGTGAAATGTTGGGTGGGGCTGTCTTTATATCTCTAAGCTAAGGGTACACTAGGCACAGCTTCTTCCCCTGCAGGCAATGTCAGCTCAGGGTTGGGCCTTTCAAGGGAGTTGGAAAGATGCTAGTGAGAAATCACTTAGTGTAGGCCAAATAAAACACTAAACAGACGGCATCTCTGTTGGGTTCCAAGCCAGTTTCCCTACAGGGCGAGGTCAGCTCTGCCTGGAGCTCCACCTACCTGTCCCTTCTGAGGGTTTCAGGAATTCCAGGTTAGAAGCTGGAGCTCCCTGTTTCAATAAAGCTCTCTTCTGCTTTTAGCTGCTATTTCTGTTAGTCTATGACATATATTCCATCACTGGAGTGGTACATAAAATTATTTAAACGGGGTGTAAATTATCAGAAGGGTGGTGGAGGAAGGTCAGTGTCCTCCAATGGCAGACGCCTTCTCGAGCAGGGAAGGCTAGGAGGGGGTGGGGCCCCCAGGTAACCCAGGGCCTGGCTCCCACCTTTGCCACCCCATCTTCAAAGACCCAGGTTGCTCAGCCTATAGAACCAAGTGGCACTGAAGGCCCAGGATGTGTTGCCTTCCCTGCCCTCCACCCTCAGGCACAAATCCAGGGCACTGTGCCCCTCAGCCCAAGGTGCCCATCTGGGAAGAATGGAAGGTGACCACACCGCCCATCAGGATGTCAAATTGTTCAGTTAGGAACAAGGGAGATAATAATACTTCATCCTCTCATCATTCATTTGCAGCAAAGACTCCATCACTGACCGATTCCACTGTTTTTCAAAACGTGTGTGTGGCTTCCAAAGTGTGGTGCCCCACATGAGAATCTTCTGGGGTGCATGTGTCAGGAACCTTTTGCTTTAACAGGTAGGGAAGCAGATCCCTCCACGGTCCCCCTGAGACCAAGCACGCCACAGGTGTGTCCCGGCAATTGGGGTCGTGCCCCAAAGCTTCCATCTCCATGACTCGAGCCTCACTCAGAGCTCACCCCAGACACGGCCGATGCAGTGTTGATACAGCCCAGCTTCCTGGGCAAAGTCCTCACCACACTCAGTGCAGGAGAGTGTACCCGGGGTTGCCCGGAGCAATGTCACCTCAAAGAAGCAGACTGCCCAAAGGCCTTGCCACAGTCAGGACAAGGGAGGATGGCCTGGGCAGTGGTGGGCACAGCCAGTGGGGCAGAATGGGCAGCGGGGTTGTACTGGTGGGTGATGAGGGCTTTGGAGGAGGGGAAGGAGATGAAGAGGGCCCCATGCAGCTTCTGGGCCATGAAGTCCGCTGGGTGCTCCCCCTTCTTGGGGTGCTCCTGGAACTTGGAGTCGGTGAAGGTGATGAGGCAGCGAGTGCACTGCAGGACCCCCAGGTGGCCTGAGGGATGTGGGGAGACGCCGAGGGAGGCCTGCAGGGAGCTCCAGGACCTCTCCTGAGTCTCAAGAATCATGGCTGCAATTACCATTACCTGCTCCCTGGGGGCCAAGCTCTATGCTGGTGCTGGGCAGGGGTACAGGCAAACTCTGGCGGACCTGTTTGATGAATATGCAGACTGAGAGGGTAGGGAGCATGCTCACACCTGGGAGGCTAGGAAGTGAGATGGTGGAACCGACACTGGAGCCCAGCCAGTGTGCTGGTCTGAGGGAGCAGAATCCCAGCTCACTCACTTCACAGGCCGGTACAGCAGGTTCCCTGCTTGGCAAATAAGGGCAGGAGAGATCTATCTCACAGGGTTGTTTTGTTTGTTATTGTGAGATGCCATCGAGTTGACTGTAACTCACAGCAACCCTATGAACAGCAGAGCTGAACCTCGCCCCATCCAGTGTCCTCCTCGCCATCTCTCATATACATGACGTCACAGTCACAGTCACTGTGTCAGTCTACCTCCCTGAGGGTCTTCCTGTCTGCAGCTGACTTTCCGATCTTTCCAAGCATGATGTCCTTCTCCAAGGACTGGTTCCTTCTAACATACATGCCTAAAGTATGTCAGATGAAGCTTCACCATCCACGCTTCTGAGGAGCTTGTGTTGGAGGGAGGGATACATGAGTTTATTTAGAGAAAGGGCTTAAAATTGGGTGAGTCCGCACAGCTGTTTATAGTTTTAACTATTGAAAAAGCAACCCAACATCTAGGAGCCTGGCACTCAGCTAGTCTTGGTGTTCACAGAACACCAGTTTCACAGAACAGTAGCATCAGATGAGGCCAGGCTCTAATTGGGATGGATCGAGTCGAGACCATCAAGCCTGAATGCAGACAAAAACCATGAATGTTGTCCAAACTGCAAAAAACAGCCACACACACTCCCTGCCCTGGCTGATATGAGGGGTTGCTGCTGGCTGGTTCTTTCTCATTGATAAGAGTTATTAAGATCATCCAGTCACAGAATTGCCCCAGCTTCCTGGCAGCTTCAGAGCAGAGCCCTGCTCCATTGAATCCTCTCCAAAGCGGCTTAAGAGAAGCCCCAATCTTACGCTCCCTTAGCGAGAAGGGTTCCCTGTGGTGTGTACCGCCCTGTCAAAAGTGTACATTAAACCTGACACAGGTGTGCCCTTGGTGTCTCTGATCTACTGCTCTATTAATACTTTTCTTTGCCTCAGGTCTCTTATCGCGCTAACACCAATTATATACAGAAGGCCAAATGAAATCATGAGCACTGAATTCTAGAATGCTGCCTGGTGTGTAATAAACGTTCGGGAGCTGTTGAGATTTTATGCCAAACTGCTACTTGTCTTTCAACACTGATCCTTCCCCTTTCCTGCAGCTAAGGCAGGTGAGGCAGGTAATGGCAGCCCCTTTTTGACAGGGAAACGAGGGCCAAGCCACACTCCAAATTCTGAGCAAAATCAGGACGAGACCCTTGGACCTTTTGTAGTTCCCTCCCCCTCACCTGTCCTAGCCACATCTCCCACCTGATGCGATCCTGACCCTCTAGTCTGCACCCCCTCCTGTCTTCCTGGCCAGAGCAGGATGGGTGTGCACCTGAGCGTGGTGAGAAAAGGCACTTCCTGGTAGGACAGCTAAAGGTATACGGGCCTTTGGCAATGGGCAGCCTTGGAGGTTGAAATACTAGAGAGACCCTTTCAGCATCATCTGCACCCGACCCTCTGGGCAGCAGTACTCACAGATGTCCTCTTCCAAGCTGCTGGGACTCCTCAGAGGGCGAGTTCTGCTGCTGTAGGGTCTCTTTCAGGTGTGGATCCTCCATAGTGACCAGAAACCCCTCTGGTCAGGAGAGCATGCATGATGAACAGTTAAGTAGATGAATTGAGGCTATGCTCCTGTCATTAGTCACGTGACCGGCTAGTCCTATGACCTCTGGCCTTCACAGGGACTCACTGCAATGCTCTGGCTCTCAGGAAATGCAAGTTCCTGAGAACCTCAAACTGGTGGAGCTCTGATTCGACACCTCGGCCTTGTGATTGTTCTAAAGCCGCGTTCCCACCGGTGTGTCCACAGCCTTTTACAACAAACTTAAATCCTGGAACTCAACACGCGTGGGAGTCCCTCATCTACATCTTGTGACCCTTCGTTTTCCCTGAGTCCCTGACAGCCACGCATGCTCCCCATCCTCAACTCGGTGGCGCGGTGCCTCAAGCATTGCCTCGGGTCCCCCTTCCCCAGGAAGGTAGCCCAGCCTCTGCATTTCTCCGCATACTGCAGAGGGCTGCCTTTCGTCGCGCCTGTCAGTCTCTCCCCACAGCGCCGCCACCCGGAGGGGAACAAGGGAAGGGTCCCCGGGGTTCGCGCGCCGTTCGGCCTGGTGAACCTCTTAAAGGCAAAATTCCCAGTTGCCCTCTGGGAGTCGCACCATCGCAGGCCTCAAAAATAACGGGAGGGGGCCTTCTCTGCACCGCGGTCTGTTAAGATGACGTCACAGGCCACCTGTGCGGCAGAGCAGTCACCGTATTGCGCAAGGATGGTTCGGCGCGCAGGCGCATTGGCCCGTCTCATTGTCCCAGGCCTCGGTGTCGGTAGGAGCCGGCGAGCTCGCGCCTGTCCGCCGTTCTGCGCAGGCGCTGCAAAGGGCTGTGTCTTTGAGGTCACGTTTTCGAGTCTCACGCCCACCTCGAGGCAGGAACGTCAAGCCAGATCTTCCAGAACGTGTAGGGACTATCCCCAGTTCCGCAGCTCAGGCCTCTTCGGCCTCCGTCCGCCCGATCCCAGAGGAGGAGCTTCTCGTTGGCCCAGCTGCTGCAGACTGCGCTCGTTCCGGGGTCGGCTGTTTGTTCGGTGAGTGATTCGCAAGTCCTTCGGGAGATGGCAGCGGGTAGGATGAAACATCTGTGCCTCAGATTGTGAGATTTTTCCCGCAGGAAGGGAGACACTTGCTTTCTGAAAGAGGACACACAGGTTACTTGGGTCCCTTGGGAACAGGGCCTGGGCGCCGGCTGTCTGGATGGTGGGGAGTGTCGACTAGGTTGGGAGAAGGATGGCATCGGGGTCTGCCTGACCTGGTCTTCCCCTCTCTTGCTTTGCAGCCATGCCGCCACCACGAGGTGACGTAACGGCCTTGTTCCTGGGACCCCCGGGCTCAGGCAAGTCTTCGTTGATCGCAGCGTTGTGTGACAAAGATGTGGAAACATTGGAGCCGCTCAAGGGACGGCTGGACTCGGGAATCCCCAGCCTGCGGGCTGCAGGTCCAGGCCTTTTTCTGGGCGAGCTGAGCTGCCCCCCAGCAGCGCCAGGGCCGTGGGCTGCGGAGGCCAACGTGTTGGTGCTGGTGCTGCCTGGGCCGGACGGGAATGGGGAGACCTTGGCCCCCGCTCTGGCGGAGGCGGCGCGCAGCGCCCTGGCCCGAGGGACCCCACTGTTGGCGGTGCGGACCCTCCATCCCCGGGATTGCCAGACTGAAGCCCAAGCCCGGGATCAGACAGAAACCCTGCTGGATGGCACCGGCCTAGGAGCCGCGGCCCTGTTCGTATTACCTAGGAATTGCACCGCGAGCAGCGGGGGCGAGGAGCTAGAGCGCCTGCAGGCTGTTCTGCAAAACCAGGCGGAGCCGCTGCAGAGGTGAGATTTAGGCCTGCGGAGGTGAGATTTAGGGCGGGGCAGGGTGGGTAGGCTTTGCCTCTTTAGGCTAGACCCCGCGCTTAAAGTGTTTGGGGTAAAAAAAAAAAAGTGTTTGGGGTTAGCCTTAACCAGATACTCCTTCATTCACAAACAGTTCATTGGCGGGGCTGGGGGTGGCATCTTTGAGGTCAGCGTGAGGCACTACCACTGGCCACACCCAGCAAGGGCATTTTCTGTCGTCCGGCTTTCGGCTAGGGCATTGAATTCACTCGATCTCAGGATATTCCTAGAATTCTAGGAAAGGCCTAACATTATCGACCAAGTACTTGACTGCTGTTAACCATGGATGTTGATTGTGGATCCAAGTAAAATGAAATCATTGATAACTTCAGTCTTTTTTTCACCATCTAGCTATTGCCTATTGGTCCAGTGGTGAGGATTTTTTTACTTCTTGATGTTGAGATTTAATCCAAATTGAAGGCTATAGTGTTTGATCTGCAGCAAGTGCTTTTAGTTCTCTTCACTTTTTGCAAGCAAGGTTGTGTTATCTTTATAACACAGGTTGTTGAATCTTGCAATCCTAATGTCACATTCTTCTTCTGAATTTTCTGCCTGTAACAACATCTTCTCTTTCCCTTCAGGCTCTTACCACCAGCCCAGGATGGCTTTGAGGTGCTGGGAGCAGCCGAGTTGGAAGCTGTGCGTGAAGCTTTCGAGAAAGGAGGCCTGGAGGCAGTGCTGTCGTGGGTACGCTCGGGCCTGGAGCGCCTGGGTAGTGCACAGCTGGACCTGGCCGTAGCTGGCACAGACGGAGTGGGACTTGTGCTGGACCTACTACTTGGATTGGATCCTGGTGACACCGGGGCTGCGCCTGCTGTCCCACCTGTAACACCCACACCCTACCAGGCCCCGGAACGCCCCAATGTAGTGCTCTGGGCTGTACCTTTGAGTCCCCAGGGTGCTACCGCCGCCCCCCATCCAATCCACTACAATGCCCTCATTCTTGTCACGCCTGGAGCACCTACTGAGAAGGACTGGGCCCAGGTTCGAGCCTTGGTCCCTCCAGATGCACCATTGCTCTGCGTGCGAACAGATGGCAAGGGTGAGGAACCGAAAGCCCTGGAAGAGGAAATGGCGGAGAAGGCCAGCGGCAAGGATTCAGAGAATGCAGATGGAGCGGAGTTGACGAATGTGCGCAGTAATGGCACCGGATCACAGAAAGTCGGCGATGGGGACTGTTCAGAGAAAGCAAGCAGGGACAGTTCGCAGCAGGTTGGCGCCAGCGCAAAGAACTTGGGCAGCGGTGATTCAGGGCATGTGGTACTGAGCCCGGAGGATGAGTCCTGGGAGGTGCTAGAAGAGCCGCTGCCTCCGGTGTTCCCGCTGCGGCCAGGCGGGCTTCCCGGACTCTGTGAGTGGCTGCGGCGTGCCCTCCCCCCGGCACAGGCGGGGGCACTGCTGTTGGCACTGCCCCCTGCGTCTCCTGGGGCCGCCAGAACCAAGGTGGCAGCACTGCGGGCTGGGGCGTGGCGGCCGGCCCTGCTAGCTAGCCTGGCGGCTGCAGCATCCCCCATACCAGGACTAGGCTGGGCATGCGATGTGGCGCTCCTTCGAGGCCAGCTGGCGGAATGGCGGCGGGCTCTGGGGCTCGAACCAGCGGCACTGGCGCGTCGTGAGCGCGCACTGGGCCTGAACCCCGGGGAGCTGGCAACGCGTGCACACTTTCCCGGCCCTGTGACACGCGCGGAAGTGGAGGCGAGGCTGGGCGCGTGGGCAGGCGAGGGCACAGCCGGCGGTGCAGCGCTGGGCGCGCTCTCGTTCCTGTGGCCAGCAGGTGGCGCAGCAGCGACCGGCGGCCTGGGCTACCGGGCAGCACATGGCGTGCTGTTGCAGGCGCTGGACGAGATGCTGGCCGACGCCGAGGCAGTGCTGGCGCTCCCAGCGCCCGCCCAGTAAGAGTGAATGGGGACCCGGGCTGCTGACCTCACTGAGGTTGTAGTCCCTGAGTCCCCGTTAGAAGGGAGGGGGGGCTTGGAGAGCCCAGGGTCCGGGGTCTGAGCCTCTGAGATGACAGAACAGTGACAGCCACACTCGAAGGGGATGAGGGGTTTGATTTACATTGGCAAATGTAGGTCCTGAAAGGAAAATTAATCAGAGGGCCAGGCTTCCTGGGTCCTATGGGAACTAGGGACCATAATACCCAGGCACCTGAATGACTTGGGACCGAATTCTGAGAAAGGGGGTATGGCTTCATCTTAAGTCCTAGGTGGTAGGAGGTGGCAGTCCAAAGGAAGTAAGATTACATTTGTGGGGCCGTCGAGGGGGTTCGGTGGCTTCCTAATAGTCCTACAGATCTGTTGGCCTAGACCATTGTCCCAGCTTTTAGAGGGAGGAGAAATTGCCAGAAATGGAGGGAGGGACGAGACCTTCTGGGTGTGGAATGGCCTCAAAGCTGTGTCCTGTAAGTGAGTCTGTGTCCTGTTGGCTGCCACTTTCCCTGGGCCTGATGGACAGATCCGAGGGCCCCATTTCACAGGTGCTGACCCTGAGTGCCTGGGGTAGTCCACTCCTGTCTCTCTCTTCAGGGCTTTCTGCCTCTCTTTGGTCCTGATTTCTTCTACCGTTGCACCTTCACCTTTTCCGGCCTTGATGGATCCACAGCTGCGTGGATGCATCAGTCCCAGCGTTTGTCTGTGACGATCTCGGGCATGCGCAGAGTGTTCTGTGAACGAGGACCCACAGAACGGCGGCCAGAACCCAATATAAGAATGTGCTGCACTGTGAGACAAGGATCCCAGGGCCTGGGATGTTTCCAGCTGCTAGTGACCTGCACAGGTCACAGAAGTCTTAAATTCTCTCTCCAGAGAGACTGGTAGAAGCTCTTTTGGATGGAGGAGAAATTTAGGCCCTGCATCACCCAGTAAGGTGTACTCTAACCTCTGCCTGTCCTCATTCCTTGACAACCTGTCCCCAGCCAGCACGCTCTGTCTTGTGATGCTTGAGTGGCCACCCCAGGTCCTGCCTCAGGACCTTTTTACCTGCTTTCTCTCTGCTTGTTAACACAGCCTGCACTTCTTCCCATGGCTGACTCCTCTGCTTAACTGCTTCTCAGAGAGGCCTTCCTCGATTAACCCAACTGACATCTCTTAACAAGTTGTTGTCAAATGATCTGTAAGTAGATTACCAGGCTTTCCTTTCAAGGTGCCTTTGGATGGGCTTGAACTCACCACCTTTCAGGAAATAGCCACTTGCATTACCCCAGGAACTACTTGGGTAGTTTCCTTCCCCTCCCAATTATTCCTCTTATCCAGTTGGTTTTCCTTGCAGTTGTAACCATTATAGTGGTTGTATTATTTATTTACCTGTTTATCAGCTGTTGCCTGTATTGTTGTCTGCTATGACCTCAGCACCTGGAACAGTGCCTGGTTAACACGGTCATTCGGTGCTTTGTAAACATTTACTGTGAATTAATGGGTACATCGGTGGTAAGACTAGGGCCAGAATGCAGATTATGGACTCTTCCTGTCAGATGGGAAGGAGCAAGAACTATTGATGTAAAGAGTCTCTGACCAGGGCACCAAGAAGCAGGCATCTCCAAGTCACATCACTCTGTGTGTCGTGGACCAGTGCCTTCTTTTCCCATCTATGAAATGACAGGGCTGGTGGAGAGCATGAGTTCTGTTTCCCTGGATGGCTGCAGACAAGCTGATCACAGGAAGACTTGTGGCTGGAACATCCCATCTCTTAACACAATCTGTCTTATCAAATTGGCATGGTCTTTGTTCTAGGATTGATTTACTGCTCTGGAATATGCTTAGGAGATGCCGGTGATTTGTGTTAATTATAATTGTGGTGACTCGTAAGAGCTCCTGAGGTGACTGAGGAGCCCTGAGATATGGCCTATCACGTGCTCTGAGAGAAATGCAGGCTCCTGCAAAGAGGAGAACTGTATGGAGGGTCTACTAGAGTTGAAATTGCCTTGCTGGCATGGGTTTGGGCTTTTTGGTTAACAAGGTGGCAAAAGAGCCCCTTGTGCACAGTGACTAAGTGCTCTGCTGCTAATGGAAAGGTCAGTGGTTCAAATCCACCGTGTAATGCTGCAGCACCCAGACCTGCTTCTTCTGACCAGGCTTCTGCTTAGAAAATCCTATGGGGCACTGCTAGTCTGCACTTGTTTCTGTTACGTGTCGTCGTCAGATCAGCTACGACTCCTGTGCACCACACGTGTGAAGCTTGGCCTGTCCTGCCCCAGCCTATCGTCTCTGGCATGCGTGAGCACATTGCTTCTTCACTTTGTCGATCCGTTTAGTGGAAGGTCTTCCTCTCTTGACCCTCTCCACCTTCCCCAGCATGATGATGATGTAGTTTTTCCAAGGACTGGTTCCTCCTGACAATATCCCAGAGTATGACAGGAAGTTTCCCCATCCTTGCCTCTAAGGAGCGCCCTAGATTTCACAAACTCCATAGCTGGAGAAGTAGATTCACCTGCTCATGTTCAGAGTAGAACCAGGATTTTCAAGGACAGACCTCAGAAGTATAACACCAGGTCTTCTGACGCACCTCTGAGTGGATTCAAACCACCAACCTTTTCATTTGTAGTTGAGTGCTTAATTATTTGTACCACCCAGGGTCTTAATTAAAAGTAAAAAAAAAAACCCAAACCCATCTTGGCTAACTAGCAGTTTCAAGTGCAGTCAGTAGCCATACGTGGTGGTGATTTCTTGAGTCAAGTACAACTTACAGTGACCAGGGTGGTGGGTGTTGATAGTGACCCTTAGTGACTGCCATGCTGAACAGCATGGGTCCAGAGAGAACATCACCATTGTCACAGAAAACTCTACTAGACAGAGCAACTCAGCCTACTACTATCAATGCCCTTCGTGGTGATCCTACAGGATGAACAGAACTGCCCATAGAGTTTCCAAGGCTGTTAGTCTTCATGAGAACTACTGACTTTAGTTAGCAGCCCAACTTCAGGCCACTGGGGCTCCTGGAGCTGGACAGTCTTTCTACTGACTGCCGAGGGGCCTAAATCAAGTCACTCTTCAGATTGCATCTACCTCACAGGGTTATTGTGAGAATTCAGTGCTACACTTCAAAAGACCGTTATGCCTCTTGAGAAGCCTGGCGCACCCTAGGAGCTCAAATGTTGGTCCTGTGTCCCCTGTGCACGCACCCCACAGGCCGCCCCAGGAGAACTCCAGGCTGGGCACCTGTCTCACCACCAGGCCTTTGCTCACAGAGTGCTCTTTCTCTGCTGCTTTGCCACTGCCCTGGGTTGGTCTTAGCCTTTGCACCCCTGGCCCTTACTGCTTCCCTGCCTAAGGGAAGCATGTCAGAGGTCATGTCTGAGAAAGCAGGGCCCAAACGTGTGTGTTTGTGTGTGGGAATGGTGTGTTTGTGTTTACATAGCTCTATTGGCATTTTGAGTGTATCAACTATTTGGAATTGTTCCTTGTGAATCTTGATGGGGCTGAATTCCTGACTTGAAGCCGACAGTGAACATCCAATGGAAAAAGGACCTTTTGGTGTGTCTGTATGGCACCGCCAGAATGGAAGACCTTCTGAGGCAGGAACGCAAGGATGTGTAGGATGAACCCCCAGAAGCAAAACAAGCACCCAGAAACCTGGGTACTTGGAAGAGTCACCCATAGCCGAATGTCACGTAAATTCCTTGGGTGTGGCACAATGGAGTGGCTTGTGCCCATGGGGGTTGGGAACAAGAAAGTGTGGATCGGGGGTACAGTACACTTGTGGTGCTTTTGAAGGAATGAATAAAATTAAAATGAAGAAGTCTTGTGTCTGTCTGTGGTTGGTTCTGCATGGAAAAAATCTAATCCCTTCCTTCCTGCCAGGAACCCAGAGAAGTCCCTTGCAGTGTCCCCAGCTAGATGCATCCAGACTCCATCACCCTAGCCGGGTGCCCTTTACAAGGATTGCATTCCTCTCTGCCTCTGTTCTGGTGTCCAGAACAGCGCATCTATAGGAGAACCCATCTCCCAGGGCTGTTCTTATATGGAAAACACTCTTCTAGTGTCCTGCCAATTATAAACCCTTAAATGCCAGCTTCTATTTCCAGTTCCAGTTAGGTAGTCCCCTTCCTTACCATTTTCTCTCAATTGGGCACAGACTACTAAAGTGTGCCAAATCCAAGCCATGGCGTTTTCAATTTCTATGCATTTGATTTGTTGAATAATGAATCAGGGTGACGGAAGAATTGATGTCTTAGGATCATATTGGAGAAGAGTACCAAATATCCCACGGACCCTCAAATGAACAAGTGTGTCTTGGACCCAGTGCAGGCAGGATGCTCCTTAGAGGCAAGGATGGTGAAACCTCTCGTCTCACAGACTTTGGGCCTGTTATCAGGAGGGCCAGTCCATGGCGAGGCACCATGCTGAGAAAGGCGGAGAGTCAGTGAAAGAAAGGAAGGCCCTCAATAAGCTGGATTGACCATAGTGACTACAACAACGAGCTCAGGGTATCTGAGATCCTGAGGATGACAGGAGAGGCTGAGACTCAGAGCTGTTGTTCAGAGGGTTGCTATAAACTGTAGTGGACTCGACGGCACCAAACAACAATTTACTATCCCACCCTAGGGTTTATTTTCTTTATATTCTTCATCCCAAATGATGTCTTCATGCATTTACTTGTGTTAATAGATCTTTCCTCCACCAGAAATGAAGCTTTGTGTAAATTTTTCTTTTCTTTTCGCTGCCTCTTTTTAAACAGTCCCTCCGTAAGGACTATCCACTTAGCTTTGTATCCAAAGACGAAATTTGTAGGTGAAAGGAGTTAGCCTTCGTTACAGACTGGTTAATTTCAGGGTCAAAAATACGGAACGCTTCACGAATTTGCATGTCATCCTTGCGCAGGGGCCATGCTAATCTTCTCTGTATCGTTCCAATTTTAGTATATGTGCTGCTGAAGCGAGCACGCTTTGTGTAAATTTTTGTGTGTACACACTTAGCCCATGGTTCCAAATAGAGAAGACCCTCCCTTGAGTGAATGATTTGAACATAGGATTGTTATCACACAGTTCCAGTGCGAGCGGAGATCTAGAAGAGGGTGGGATTCCGGAGCCGTGATAGACAGTGGACGCTGTGGCTCATTCAACCTCCTTGAGTAACAATGTCCCCCCCTCACTGTGACTCTGGATTTGGCCATATGATTTGTGGCAGATGAGACAACAGCCAAGCGTCTAGCTGCTCTTGAGACTCCTGCCACCTCTGCCAGGTCAAGAGCCCTACCCTAGCTTGCAGGGGGAGGGTGACAAGCGACACATTTGGGGCAAATTACCTCATAAACGAGGTATGCACAAGTTTACTTACTAATCTGCAGTGAACCATTTCACGTGGGTTTTACCACATCTTTGATATGGTGAAAAACGCATGATATAAAACAAACAAACCTGTGCTTATTATTTCCTTATTGGGTATACTCTCTTCCTGCCAGTTGATGGTCAGCTGGAGAAAAGGCTTTGATCTTGTAGAAGGGGCCCGTGGAGTTAGGGAAGTTATGCCAGCCACAGTTAAAGGCAGAGACTTTGATGTGGGGAAATTTGAAATTGTTCCCAGGAGATCATTAGTGGAGCCCTTGTATCGCTTGCTCCTGGGTTAACCTGACACTGGACACACCCCTCAGTCGGCCTGGATACACTAGCCTGCAGTCAGCTGACCCTTGAGCAGAGCTGCCTAGATGATTGGCAGCTGACCCCAGATCAGATTGCCCAGTCATGGAACAAAACCTGAACAGTAACTAAGATTAAGACAGTGAACCATCAGAAGCAGCCTCTAAGAGGCTTTTGGGCATTCATGTGTTTACCAAACAAGCCCAGCTCTCGCCTTCTGGCCAGGAGGCAGAATTGCACTTCCCACACCACACAGTGGAATGCCTTTGCTTAAAACACAAGTCACTTTTTGGTATTCTCTGTTTTCAGTCAAGATCTATCTGAAATCAGTAATCATGTCCCTTCCTCATTAAATAAGTTGTATTTAAAAATTGCAGTAAACATTGCAATAAGCTGTGTACGTTCCATGTTCCAGTTATTAAACAATGTTTGTTATTGTTTTCCCTCAATTCAACTGACTTCCAATCTGAGCTCTACCACTACAATACTATAACTGTCCTTGTTCCTCTAGTGTTCATATGGTTTTCAAAGGCCTGTTATTTAACAAGTGGATGCCAATCCTGCTTCCTAGTCTATCTTAATCTAGGAGCTCTACCAAACTCTGTCCACCATGGGTAAACCCTATGGCATTTGATACACCAGTGGCACAGCTTTCAGTATCTCAGCAACCCCAAGTTATCTCAATACAGCAAACTGACAGATAAGTGCTGTACCACTTAGAACAATGTTCTCCCCGAACAGAATTACCACCAGCCCACAGCTGATGGTTAATTAAATCCAAATGACCAACCAGCTTATACTTGACTGTTGTTGTTGTTGTTATGTGCCGTCGAGTCGCCTGCGACTCATAGCGACCCTATGTACAACAGCCCTAAACTCCGCTCTGTCCTGTGCCAATCGCACTGTCTCTGACACTCCCATCCCAATTATCCCAGTCACTGAATCAATCCACCTCATAGAGGGCCTTCCTCTCCTGCGCTGTCCCTCCACCCTCCCAAGCATGATGTCCCTCTCTAAGGACCGGTCTCTCCTCACAACATGTCCAAAGTAAGTTAGGCGGAGCCTCAGAATCCTTGCCTCCAAGAAGCCACCCAGTTTAACCCTTTCCAGGACAAATCTGTTTGTTTTCCTAGCAGTCCATGGTATTCTCAATACTCTTCTCCAGCACCACAGCTCAAAGGCATCAATTCTCCTTCTATCTTCCTTGGTCATTGTCCAACTCTCTGATGCATAACAAGTGATTGCAAAAACCATGGCCTGTATCAGACGCACCTTAGTCTCCAGAGAGACACCATTGCTCTTCAGCACTTTGGAGAGGTCCCTAACAGCAGACTTTCCCATGGCAATGTGCCTTTTAATTTCCTGGCTGCTGGTGCCAAGACTGTTGACTATGGAGCCAAGCAATCTAAAGCTGTGTACAATCTCAATCCCTTCACCATCCATCCTGATGCTGCCAATTGGTCCAGTGGTGAGAATATTTGTCTTCTTGACATTGAGCCTCAATCCATATTGTAGGCTGCAGTCCTTGACACTCTGCAGCAGGCACTTCAAGTCCTCCTCAGTTTCAGCAAGCAGGGTTGTGTCATCCGCATAACGCAGATTGTTGATAAATCGTCCACCAATCTTGACCCCACATTTCTCCTCATAGAGCCCAGCCTCCCGGATAATCTGTTCTGCATATAGGTTGAAAAGGTATGGAGATAGGACGCATCCCTGGCGTACGCCCTTCCCAGTTAGTGAAATGAAAGTCAGGTGTAAACTGTTTGGTATTTTTTTTAAGGACCTCATTCAAGGTCTGGTACTTCTCCACCTCACAGATGCTGAGTTTGGCCCAGTGATTGACTTTGTTGTTACTATGTCCTCAGCAAAATAGACTCAGCTGAGCCTCCAGTGGGTTTTCAAAGACTAAACCTCCTAAGAGGGGAATGCCTACTGTTTTCTTCAGAAAAGCTGGTGGATTCAAACTATCTGCCTTTACGTTGGCAGCACAGCTCCTTACCCCTAGGCCATCAGAGCTTCCAAAGCAGTGGGAGACGATTTACTTTACCCTATGCAATGTGAGCGGGGACCTTCAATGTCCTTGGCTTCTGTGCTGCTGCATTTGCCAAGAGAAGAACATTCTCCAGGAGGCTGTAGAAACCTATGGAGGCATCCTGAATCCTGTCCCCAGACTAGAGCAAGCTAGCCAGTTCACAATTGGAAGCAGAGCCACCCACCAATCCACAGAAAGGAAAACACTTGTTCTATGTCCCTGTGCTTTGGAATGGTTTGTTACAAGGGCATTACTGTAGCATTTGCTGACTAATACATCTTTGTTATTTTACACCACGGAGATTAAGGGTTTTATGTTACTATAACATAAACCTAAACCTGAGTGAGGCAGATGTTTAACACCTGGAAAATAATGGCCACTTAGTAAGTGGCAGCTATTAGGATGATTAGTATTTACCCGGACATACCTTCTCTACAGCGTATATTGTCTTATTAAAGGTGCTTGGCGCTATACCAGGTGCCTCTCAGGTTTACAAGAATCCTACAAGGTTGTAACGATTAGTATGCATATGGCACAGGCATGAAACCAGAGGCAGAAAGAAGGAGATACTAATCAGCAGAAATGAGCATGGATTCTAGACTTTGACAGGGATGGGTTCAAATTAGATGGTTTGACCCAGGCTTTCACAATTATGCCTCAGTTTGTGAAACTGTAAGATGGGGCAAGAAGATCAACATGCAGTTGCTGTAAGGATGAAATGAGGTACAGCATAGAAAATTGTGAAAACTCAGCAGAGGCACCTTAGAAGCCAAAACCAGTGAATTTATTCCAACTCACAGTGACCCCGGAGGACAGAGTCCCACAGGTTCCAAGGCTGTAAATCTTCACAACAGCAGATGCCACATTTTTCTTCCTTGGAACAGCTGGTGGTTTTGAACTGCCAACCATTTGGTTAGAAGCTGAGTGCTGAATAAGGAGCACTGTCAGGGCTCCTTATTGACAAATCAAGTCACCCCATTCCACCTCATAGTCCAAAAGGCCAACCAGACCTGCCCCTCAGGGTTTCCAAGGCTGTCATTTTTATGGAAGGAATGCTGATGTACCATGTAATGTGTCAGGCTGCTAACCAAAAGGCCATCAGTTTGAATCCACTAGCTACACCAAGGGAGAAAGACTAGCAGTCTTCTTCCAGAAAGATGTCTAGTCTGAGACTCTGTGGAGGCTCGCGATGAGGTAGAACCAGTTCAGGGCTAGTGGGTAATCTTACAGTAGCAGGTTATATCTTTCTCCTGCTCAGTGGTCAGTGGGTTTAAACCATTAAACTTTATGGCTAGAAGCCAAATGCCTTAGCCACTGTGCCACCAGGGCTCCCCACACCAGGGGCCCAGGCATTGAACTCCTGCTGTGGAATTGATTTCATCATAAATTAACTCTCCATTGAGTTTCTGAGGCTGTAAGCCCTTGCAAGATAAATGATTCATCTTTCTCTCAGAGCAGCTGGTGGATCTGAACCATTGACCTTTTGGTTGGCAGCATGACATATAATGCACCACGCCACCAGAACTGTACAGAGGGGCCTGCTGTTGTGTATCGTCGTGTTGAACCAAACCACAGTTGACCATGCCGAGGGAGGAAACTGCCCAGCTTTCCCCTTCACAGCAGCTGGTAGATTCAAACCATGGACCTTTGCACTGGCAGAGCAATTCCTTACCACTAAGCCACCAGAGCTCCCCACAAGGAGATAATCAGGGAGTAATTGCTTAAAGGTAGGGCTTTCTCTCTGTCCCTCACAAAGAGGGACTTGTATTATACTTTTCGGCACATCAAAAAGACTCAGGGCTAGCTCTGTTAGGTTAACCTTTTAATTCACAAGTTCGCGGGGACGAGCAGGGGCCTCTCTTCACCTGTCCCTCTGTTCTTTACTCAGCCCTGCCTGGAGGCCGGGGCGCTGGGAGGCAGTCGGCTCGGCGGAGGAAGTAGAGATAGGAGGCTGAGGGCACCTCGGACCCAGGTTTGGTGAAGCAGGCACTCTCTGTGGCACAGCCCCGCGTGGCAAATCGGGTGTTGAAGATTCCTGGGAAGGGAGATTTCCAGCCACAGTCAAGGCCCCCAACACACCTTCCCCCTTCCCACCCAGGAGTCCTGGCTCTGAGCAACCTCCTCCCCTGGACATCTGTGCCTCTAGTTCTGAGCCCCCTGGACCCCTCCAGGAACCCAGGTGTGCTCCTCACCAGCCTGTACATTGCCAGCGAAGTAGACGCAGTGGCTCTCCTGACCGACACAGCGCGCTGCCTGGGTCCCCGCACATGTCTCCTGGAAAGGCGCGATGCAGGCTGGGCACTGCAGGCCATTCTCCGTGCGATTGTTCAGGGGAGCTGAGGGTGTAGGACAAGTGCAAGGTAAGATAGAATGTTTAAGTCTTTCTCACAACTGGGGGTGGGGTGGGGGTGCAGAGGCAGGGAGCAGGCTCACAGTGGTGCCGGGGGATTGGAGGGGGTGCAGAGGCATGGGAGCAGGCTCATGGTGGCTCTGGGGACAGGGTTGGAGGGAGCTCCTGGGAGGGGTAGGCAGGGCTGGGCAGATGCTCACGGGGCACAGAGCCTTGGTTGCAGCCATCGCTCTGGCAGCAGTGGGTGTTGGAAACCATGTAGTCCTTGGGACCCATTGTGGTGGACACGAAGCCAGTGTAGCAGTCTTTGAACTTCATGCAGGCCTTGTAAGTGTTCACCGAGTGGTGGCCTTCTGTGGGTTGTAGGAGTGACAGAGGGCTGGGCTCCTGGGTGGTCTCTTCCATAGCCCCTTCCCTGATCCCTGATCTGTTTGAGGTGGTCTCTCCCAGCCCCATAAAGCGATATCCCCTTTTCTGCCTAGCTTCTGTGCTTGACATCATCTCCGCCAGCACCCTCTGTGGACATTCTGTTCTCCCATTCAGCCAGCCTTCTGTGGGCTTTTCCAGGCAGTCTGTCACCCCGACCCCTGTCTGTGTGAGGTGGTCCCTTCCACCTTCGCATCTTTTATCCTCCCAACCCAGGAGTGCCGGTCCATTAAGTGTTAGGTCTGGAAAATTGATGGTTCAAATCCACCAACTGCCCCATAGGAGGCCAATGCGGTGGTGGTCTGCTCCTGTAAAAAAGTCAAGCCTTGGAAACTCGATGGAGGGTCGCTGTGAGTCGCAATGGACTCAAACGCAGCAGAGATTTTTGCTTGTTTATTTTGGTTTTAGTTTTTTGTTTTGCCTGGGGTGACTTTCCAAATACTACCTTCTTTGTGATGCCCTTTCTCTGTCTCTGGGGGGGGGGGGCTCCCTCCTCAAAACTCATTGTCATCAAGAACAAACTCATAGCTGACCCTCCAGAGGGTCTTCCAAAACTGTAAAACACACAGGAAAAGATTGCTGATCCTTCTCCCATAGAGCCCATGGTGGATTTGAACTGACAAAGAAATGAAGCCTTTGGGTTAGTAGTGCATCTCCCTACAGACCAGATCACCAGAGCTCCAGCCTCCTGTGCTCTTTTCCAGACTCCTGGCCATTCCCCAGACCTTCCAGTGTAACCCAATCAGTGGTTTCCTCTTCACCCAACCACAAGGGTGGTTTTTCCTCCATCCTTCAGGTGAAGAAATATTCCTTCAGGGTCCATAGCTCCCCTTATCTGCGTGGGTGGTCTCTTTAAGCCTTTCTCCCACCTGCTAACTTTTGCTGGCTGGCTAGGACCATGTGCAATCTTTTATCCCACTATTCTTGCACAGCCGTCCCTGTGGGGATGGTTCCTTCCTACATTTAGGCTTACATGTATCTCTTGCTAAAACTTTTAGTCCCTTTTCTTTCCCTATCATCTCTCCTGTGTTAAATGATCGATCTCCCTCAACTTTGAATGAAAACTACGCCTTGCTATGCTGCATTAAAAAATAAGGAACTCACGCAATATTATTCAAAATGGCTGACTCTGGAGAACATTATGCTGAGTGAAATATCCCAGTCACAAAAGGACAAATATTACATGATGCCACTGTTGTAGAATGGGACTAACCTCGGGGTTGGGGAGAGACTGAGTAAGATGGGTTCAATAATGTATACTGCACTGAAACAGAGGAGGGAGAAAACTGTTTAAAAGAGATATGTGACTAGGTATTTCTGTCATCACAGGAGTCTAGAGCGAGGGCTACATGGTGGAGGGGACCTGGGGGAGGGTTTGTAAAACAATGAAAGAATCTTTTACTTTTCCATAGTTTTTGACTCATGTACTTATAACTTGTTAGTTAAATTTGTGTCTTCTAGGTTGCAACACCCCCATGATACATCTTCAAGGATATGAACATGTACGGCCAAGCACAATCAATAAGAGTGCATCTAAATTCCAAAATCAATCTCCATAATAGTCTCTGTGTTTCCTACTGCCAAAGGGGCCCTTTAGAGTAGTGAGAGAAGATCTTCACCCTGAAACCCACAGCGTCCCTTTTCAGCAGGAAGTAGCTAAGAGAATACGCCATCCCCTTTTCCTTATGAATCAGGGTGAAGTCTCTCTCAGGGAGGAGTGATAGGAAATGGCAAAGGACACACCGACAAAGGAGATTAATTAGAACTGACTTTGACAAGCACTGTGGCAATTGGACAATTAAAACAGACATTCGGATGGCGGGGAAGAAGAACAAACTGGGGAGGAGGGTAGAGAGAATGGTGCAGCAATGAAGGAATGAAAACCCAAAATCCCTGTAAATGTTCATTAAAACGAATAAAATTTAATAATAATTTAAAAAAAAAGAAAACTACGCCTTGGCCAATGGTCTCCTTCATTGGTCCCCATCCAACCTTTGTCTGGTCTACAATGAATGGTCTCTTCCCTTTAAGCCAACCCTCCTCTCCTTCCCATTCTACCATTCTTGCCAAGCCCCAGGTCTACTTCTCTTAGTGATTTTTCTATTGGTTCTATCCCCCCCCTTTCTGTAATGGTCTCTCCCTCTACTACATCATCCCTTCTCCCGTCCTTGGGCTGGAATGGGCTCTTCCTACCCCTGTTACTCTCACCATCCATGAGGTGATCTTTTTCTAACAACTTACCTCTCTCTCTCAAATGGTCTCTTCTCAGATATTACACTCCTCTTCCATTCCCCTTCTTACCTATTTGATCCTCCCATTCTTACCATTTCTCTGATCCTCCTTTTCTTTCCCTGGCCCTCCCCAGCCTAAGAAAGTCTCTCCCCTCCTTCACAGCATCTTTTTTTGAACTTGTCCATCTTTTGAAGTCTAAAAATAGTTTCTGTTGCCCTTGGTAAGGAGCTGCACTACCAACCCAAAGTGTTCGAGTTCAAATTCACCAGCTGTTCCGTAGGAGAATGATGAGCCATCTCCTCCCATGCGATGTATAGCCTCTGGAAACCCGCTTGGAGGGTCAGCTATGAGTCAGTTCCACTCAACAGCACATAACAACCACTTTTGTTATGTTTTTACCTCTTCTCCACTCCCATCCGAGTTTCTTCCCATGCTCCACCTTCTGAACACACCGCCCCATCCCACCACCTCTGCAAAGTTCTACCCTCGCCCCTCAACTCCGGCTGGAACGCCGCCGCTCCTACTTGTGCTGGACTCGCCCACGATGGTCACGCATGCGTCCTTGCCATTTTCACAGGTCTTCACCTTTCCGCTGCACGTGGGCCCGGAGCCCCTACATACCTCGCAGCTCAGTGGGCATCCTGCCGGGCAGAGAAAGGGCCGCGGTCACGCGTGGTAGATCTGCGGACCATGACTTGGACTCAGCGTCCCGACGGAGATAGGAGTAAGGGACCTGGGCCCCTGGGTTTGAGGGAAGGGTGCCTAGATCGCTAATCCTTGAAAAAGTAGAGGCGCCGTTTTTCCTGGGCGGAGCATTAACCCATGTCCAAGGAACTGTCCAGCGCTTTAACAGGGACGCGATGATGAAGCCTGCAAAGCTGCTCCCAGGGCGGGAAGCGACTCCACCACTGAGCCTGTTCACCTAATTACAAGGCTGGGGGCTTTGGGTGACAGCTCCCTGGAGAAAGCTCAGAGTGGGGAGGGGTCGTGATGAAGGCTTCTTAGGCTTTTACAAAGTTTCAGGTTCAGCTGCTTCCAAGGTGTGGGGCCCTCCCCTTGTAGATGCATCACAGGCCTTGTAGCCTCAAGCTGGGGTCTGCATGCCAGGCCCACGAGGGACAGTGAGGACCATGAGGGGCTCAGGGCCTGCATTTCCTGGTACCGACAAGGGAAGTGCCTGGCATCCACATGGGGTCATGGGAAAGTGGAGCAGGTACCCCTACTCCTGGGTCTAAGGGAGGAGGGGGACTGCACCCCTAGATCTGAGGGAGGAGGGAGCTGGGGCCTAAAATCTTAAAGGAGCTTTCATTCATATTCTCCCTCAAACTTTCCCTCTCCTTCCAATGATGCTGCATCTGATTTTCTAGAATTTAGGTGCTTTACTTTGTGGCTCTACCTGAGGGAAAGCAGTTTCAGAGTTCACAAGGCCCATTTCTCTCTCAGAGGGCCAATTATATTATGAAAGTTTTGCCTCAGTCTCTCTCCTCTAGTCTGTCACTTCCATGATCTGGATTCCTGGGATACCTCCTCTTTATCCCTAAGGGCCTTTTCTGAATATTATTTCATAGTTTCTACGTCCTGAAGGTCCCAGGAGCCCAGGGCCCCAGTCACTCACCGAGACCCAGCAGGGTGCAGAGCAGCGTGAAGGTCAGCAGGAAGGTCCTCATGGTGTGTGAACCTGTAGCCCTGGCCCCAGCCCTTATAGGAAGCTGAGGAGGGGCGGGCCCAGACCCACCTTCACCCTGAGGTGAAAGGAGCTGAGGTCAGAGCCAAGGGCTGGCCTCCTCAGCCCCCGGGTAGGGAAGGCGGAAGCCTCATCCCAAAGGATCCAGGCACCTGGGGCTCCGAGCCCTCGCCCACCACGATCCCCAGTGTCTCGGCTTTCAGCTCTTCTGGTTTTTCATTCTTCACCACCACTCATTTCCTTTACACAAAGCCCGAGAGCTGAATGGGGTCATTTTATTCCCTGCAGGTACGAAGCAGCTACTAGGACCAGGATCTCTTCTCTTCCCAAGGAGGTGTCTTTCCTGGGTGGGGCCCCATCTGGGAGCGCCATGCATGTCCAGGCTCGTTCTGAGGGGACCCGGGATATTTGTCATCCTTTCCTCTTCCCAGCACCTGGCTTATACTTCATATTCTGTGTTTGGGTTTATTCTGCACGCCTGGATCTCTTGGGGACAGAACAGAAGGGTGCCAGTCTGTGGCCAGGGTGGACTTGGCATGAGATAGGTCACATGGGGTAACTGAGGCTCGAATAGGAGTCTCTAGGGGTGTGTGTGGGGATGTGTAATTCACGGGAGCCGGCGGAGAACATCCGGTAGGTTCCAGGTTCCCCGCGAAAATCCAACTCAGGTCAGCTGTCGTTCAGCATTCTAGGCTTTAGTTTGGGAGGTGATTTCGTCGTCCAATGAGAATGGCGAATTTTTCCTAGGGGCCAATCCCGGAGGCCGCTTCTGTTGCTAGGAGCCCAGAAAGCCGGGCGTAAACGCCACCAGGAGACGGGGCTAGAGAGCCAAGGGGTAAGCGGGAGGCGGGACAAGGAGGCTCGACTGGGCATGCGCAGTGTCGACGCGCGCGCCGGCGCGCCGCTGTTTGAAAGGCCCGAGCCCCGCGCGCTTGCGCACTGAAGCCCGTGCGTCGGGTTGAGACCCTGTACCCTCTGTCTGCAAACCCAGACCCTCCTCTGTCGTTTGGGTCAGGCGAAAGCTACAGCGTTGACATGCCGGAAATCCGCCTCCTTCGTGTCGTGTCCTGCAGCAGCCAGGATTCGGTGAGAGGCCGGCGTGGGGGGGGTGGGAACACGTTAGAGGACTGAAGAGGGCAGCGCTACGAGAACTTCTGGGGCGATAAGGGAACTTCAGGAAAGTCGGAGCAGGGCTGTGGGTGCATTCGAGGAGGCTCGAAGCGCATTCTGGGGGAGATGTGGGATAGCGGAATTTCCGGTCGTCGGGAACTTGGGAGCGGAGGAATAGAGGCACTTTTTGGGAGTGTTTTTAGAGGGGCTTTTAGGGGAAGAGGTTGCAAAAAGAACTCAAACCGGGGGATGAGCAGGGGCATTTAAATCTTGGAAGTCTGACATTTGGGCCTAGTGGCTTTACTCTCTTACATCCCTGTGGCCTCACTCTCCCTTCCCACTCTTGCCCTCAGACGCACTGTGCAGAAAACCTCCTCAAGGCGGACACTTACCGGAAATGGCGGGCAGCCAAGGCCGGCGAGAAGACCATCTCCGTGGTCCTGCAGGTGATACGGCTTCTCCCTTCCCCCTCACCTGCCCCACCATGAGTCTGGAGACCCAGTGCGAGGACTCAGCGCTTGAATGATCTGGCCACTTTCCTGCCTGGGCCTCAGGTTCTTTACTGGGAAAATGGGTAATGTGATACTTGTGTCACTCAGCAGAGTAGGAATCTGACCCAGAGTCTAAGCAGGAAGTGACCACGGGAGTCAGGAGTGTGGCCCTGATAGCTTGCTTCTACTTTCTGAGCCTCAGTTTCCTTACCTGGAATATGGGTGATGTGAACCCTGAGCCACTCAGTGTAGGAGAAATGTGACCCAAGGCCTAGGCCAGGAGTGACTATTGGATTAACAGTGTGATGTCAGGAAGTTGCTTCTACTTCTTGGGTCTTGTTTTTCTCACCTAGAAAAGAGTGAATCAATGCCCTGCGTCCTGACTCTAAAGTTAGAACAAACACGTCTGTTTTGGAAGAAGTGCAGTCAAGGGTGCTCCTGAGAGGTGAGGATGGTGAAACTTTGTTTCACATATTTTGAGCATGTTGTCAGGAGCATTCAGTGCTTGGAAAAAGACAGCTGGGGAAAGTGGAGGGTCAGAAAAAGAGAGGAGGCTCTTCAATAAGATCAGTTGACACAATGGCTGTGACAGTGGCTTGGACACGGAGATGATGACAATGGTGCAGGACAGGTCAAGGTTCAGGTCTGTTGCTTGTAGGATATGATTGTTTACAAATCATAGTCAACTGAACAGCACGTAACACAAGAATAAAGTCAGTTGGCTCAGGGTTGGAATAAGTACAGGTAATCAAGCCAGTCCACATCCAAGCAAATCAATTTCATTTTAAAGTTGAGTCTGAAGTTTAGGGAGGCCAGTCGAAATGACTGGTTCCAAAATTTTGCCTGGGTTCTCACATGATTCACACCACAGTCCTGTGCGGTTGTCATTGTGGTTAGTCCCTATTTAGCGGATTCTGACTTGTGATGACCCCAGGTGTGTAGAGATGAAGGATTTCAAATGCTTTTCCAGGCTGTGTCCTTTTGGAGGCTTAGCACCAACCCTGTTCTCCTAAAGCACCACTGGGTGGATTTGAACTGTCAGTGTTTTAGCTACTAGCACCAAAGTGTTTACGTTACCCAAACTTTCTGTGAGGTTAAACACTGCCATGGTTTCAGACTGTCAAATCTGACTCACAGCAACCTGCTTTAGAGTTTCCAAGGTTGTATGTGATTACAAGAGGAGATTATTCCCTGTGTATCTCCCTTGTAGTGCCTTGTGGATTTGAAATGCCCACATTTTATTTAGAGCCCAATAGTGTACAGACACTACTTCCAGGGCTCCTTTCCTATAAGATACAACAGCTTATTGCCATCGAGTTGGCACCAGTTCATAATTTACCTTTCATTGGGTTTCCTAGACTGTACGTTGCACAAAAGGTTATTGTCTCCTTTGGAGTTGCTGGTGGATTTGAACCAATAGTGAAGTCTGGCCTTTGACTTAGTAATACAGCTCCTTATGGACAAGGCCATCAGAGCTACCCATGAGGTAAGAGGGAGACAAGTTGTGAAGAGCGTTTGAGATGATTACAGAATTCCAAAGGCTGTACTTGTCAGGATTAATATGATTGGAGAAGAATGTTAAATGTCTGTTGAGCATCTGCTTTTTTGGTTGCATGAAGTTTGCTTTTTTAAAAGAACTTTTGTTTTAATTGTGATTTTTTTTAAAATTTTTTTAAAATATGGAACGCTTCACGAATTTGTGTATCATCCTTGTGCAGGGTCCATGCTGATTTTCTCTATCATTCCAGTTTTAGTATATGTGCTGCTGAAGTGAGCATTTTAATTATGATTTTAACAAGTTTACAGAAAAGTTGGATTTTCATTCCTTCATTTTCTTCCGTCTGCATCCCTTCCTCCCAGTTCACTTTCTTTTTTTTTTTTAAATAGTCATTCATAGTTGTAGATCTTTGTCTTTTGAGACTGAGATTATATGTAGTGCTTTGTGTTCATGAATTAGTTTTCTTGATTTTTTGAGCACATTCTGTAGAGCTGAGTGTGGGGGTGTTTGGGGAGGAATGGTAGGAAGGCAGAATGTACATAATCATATTTGATCCAGAACATACTCTTGATCTCGCCCAGTGGAAAAAATCTAAGATTTCTGGACCTTTTGAGAATTTGATGAACACTGAGGTGTGTTTTCTCTGGAAAAATAGACTGATAACATTTTCTGAATCCCTAACACTGAACTTTGCTTTCATTCCACAGTCAACACCCATGTTAGCAGCAATTAAGAAATAAAAATTGGGGAAATCTGCTGTGAGCGGCCTCTTTAAAGTGCTAAAGAGTAAGGATGTCAATTTAAAGACTTAAGGTGCACCTTCCCCAAGCAACAGTATTTTTAGTTGCTTTGTATGCATTTCAAAGTTGGAATATTAATAAAGAAGACCAAAGAAGAAATGATGCCTTGGGATTGTGTTGGCAAAGAGTATTGAATAAACCACAGATAGTCAAAAGAACAAATCTGTCTTAAAGGAAGTGTAACCGGTATGCTAACCAGTATGTTCACCACTGGACCAATTGGCAGCATCAGGATGGATGGTGAAGAGATTGAGATTGTACACAGCTTTAGTTTGCTTGGCTCCACAGTCAACACTCTTGGCACCAGTAGCCAGGAAATTAAAAGGCACATTGCCATGGCAAAGTCTGCTTTCAGGGACCGCTCCAAAGTACTGAAGAACAGTGGTGTCTTTCTGGAGACTTAACGTGCGTTTGATAACAGGCCATGGTCTTCACGATCACTTGTCATGCATCAGAGAGTTGGACAGTGACCAAGGAGGATAGAAGGGGAATTGATGCCTTTGAGCTGTGGTGCTGGAGAAGAGTATTGAAAATACCATGGACTGCTAGGAAAACAAACAGATTCATCCTGGAAAGGGTTAAACCAGGTGGCTCCTTGGAGGCAAGGATTCTGAGGCTCCGTCTAACATACTTTGGACATGTTGTGAGGAGAGACCGGTCCTTGGAGAAGGACATCATGCTTGGGAGAGTGGAGGGACAGTGCAGGAGGGGAAGGCCCTCCTTCCCCTATGAGGTGGATTGATTCAGTGACTGGGATAATTGGGATGGGAGTGTCAGAGACAGTGCGATTGGCACAGGGCAGAGCAGAGTTTAGGGCTGTTGTACATAGGGTCTCTATGAGTTGCACGCGACTCGATGGCACATAACAACAACAACCAGTATGCTCCTTAGAAGCAAGAATGATGAAAGTTCGCCTCATAGACTTTGAGCGTGTTGCTAAGAGACGCAAGTCCTTGGGGGAAAAAGACATTATACTGAGAAAGGAAAGGGACAGTGACAGAGAGGAAGACCCTCAACAAGAGGAACTGACACAGTGACTATAGCAGTGTCTTGAGCCTGGCGGAAATAGGAGGAGGCGAGACAGCATGGTTTCAGCCCTCTGTTCATAGGGTAACTGTTAGTTATAGATGACACTGTGACACCCATCAACAGTCTGTATTCAGTGTTACAACCTGCCTATCACCATCCTAAACACATATGGGTTAACTTGTGAATCTTTCTAAAACCCCCCGTGATCATTCCTATTATTACTCCCATTTAAAGATGAGGAAACTAAGGCCCTTAGGAGTTACGCAGCTTGTTCATGTGTCAGTGTTTTTTTAAATTGAGAGCGATACGGCTTGCTCAGGATTTGTTCTTAGGACCTGGATTCCAATCCTCAGCTCTGCTTCTTACTCACTCTCTGACCTCAGGCACCTGGTTTTGTTTCACTGAACCTGTTTTCTCATCTGTCCATTGGGAATCATGAGATCTAAGTCCAGATGATTTGGTGACATCATGTCTGCGGAAGTGCCCAGTCAACATACAGATGTTTGTGTAAGGGGAGGGATGTGTGTGTTTATTACTGGGTGATGATCCCGCTGGGCTCCCTTGTGATTAGATGACCCTTGGGAAATCACGTTTACGTTTGTATCCAAGTTGAAATGGGAACACAGAGTGTGGGAGATAGGGTGAGAGTGTACCTGAAATGAGAGACCCAGAGAGGGGTCTCCTGGGAGTGGAATGTGTTAAGTTGGGACATCTAGGTTTCATAGGACTTTGGGACATTCTCTTACTGCCATGGAGTCAGAACCAATTCATAGTTGATTCTCCATTGGGTTTCTGAGGCTATAAATTGAACAGAAGAAGATTGTCAGTCTTTTTCCTGCAGAGCCCGCTGGTGGATTTGAACTTCTGAATTTGCGGTGAAGCTCTCTGTACACTATGAGTCATATCCTTTTGGGACATGAAGGGGCTGGAATCTTATGAGATAGTGGAGGATCAGAGATCAAGACAGGCTCTGAGAGTCAAGAATCTTAGGGATCGGAGCCCAGAACACAAGTGGGGGGCTTGTCAGCACAGGGACAGAACCAGAAAGCCCAGGAATGAATGGATTCATTCATTCATCGATTCATCTATTTGTTCATAGGTTCATCCAGTCCATTTTTATTAAGCACCTTTAATAGAATCGAGATCAACCAGGTGGAATCAGTGGGTAGTGCAAAAGGTTCCTTTGCTCAACTACTGCCTGAAAGGTTGGAGGCTTGAGTCCACTTGAGTGCTTGAGATAAAAGGCCTGATGATCTGCTCTCCTAAAAGCCAGCCATTGAAAACCCTGTGGAAGGCGAGCTCTGGTGGCCTAGTGGCAGGAAACTGCACTGCAATCCCAGAGGTGTGCGGTTCAAATCCACCAGATGCTCTGCTGAAGGAGGAGGAACAATCACCTCTGGTACCAGTCAGATCCAATTTGACGGTACATACATAAAATAAATAAATAAAAATTATTTAAAAAAAAGAAAGAAAACCCTGTGGAATGCACTTCTCTGCCATCCATGGGGCCACCATGAACTGGAATCACCCCATATTGATTGGTACTGGTACCACAGCACTGTTGTATTTCTAGCTTTTATTGTGGTTTGAGTGAAAGTTTGTGGAGCAGAGTGTATGAATAGTTTTCT